ATTTGAGGACTAGGTACAAGGATTGGGGTAGGTGAGTTTTGAGCTTGAAAAGCAAGCCATGCCACACCCGGTCGAAAGCTTGCGCTACGTCCAGAAAGGCACCGAGGCAAAAAAAAAAAAGGTAAAAGTAAAATCATGATTATCTTTATATACAATGAGAGATGAATCTCAAATTACTCTGTCACAAACCTCAATTTAATTAATATAGATTTAATGAACTATAGATTCGCGATTTTTTTTTAAACTAGTTTAAAGATACCACTCTTTTTTTTTAAACTTTCTTGTCTAATGTGATTTATCTATAATAATTAAATTGAGATTTGTGACAGAGTAAGTTGAGATTTATCTCTAATTGGGTAAAAAGATTAATAGTACCGTATAATCATTACCTTTTTACACAATTAGAGATGAATCTCAACTTACTCTGTCTCAAACCTCAATTTAATTAATATATATTTAAATCTAATTAAAAGTGGAAGTTTTTCAGTAAATCTGGTACCACCTTGATCCAACGACCAGTCTGGACTGCATCCTAAAAAAATCCTTTACCTCAAAACTTTATTGACCTTATTAAATATAAACGCCAATCTAGGACCCTCTGGAAAAGAACATCCTGTTGATCGGAAATTATACAATTAATATTCCAAACAGGTTAAAAAAGAACTTACTTCCTTTAGATCGCAACCCCACAATTCCTACCTTTCTTCCCTCTCTACTGATGACAACTCCCCAAAACTTTACTGATGTTACAAAAGGTTAACAGATCTATTTACAAAAAGAAATATTTACAGAATTAATACTATGTACAGTCTCAAACCTCAATTTAATTAATATATATTTAAATCTAATTAAAAGTGGAAATTTTTTCTGTAAATGAGGTACCACCTTGATCCAACGAGCAGTCTGGACTGCATCCTCACCATTACCTTCCAAAAAAAACCTTAAAAAATCCTTTACCTCAAAACTTTACTGATGTTACAAAAGGTTAACAGATCTATTTACAAAAAGAAATATTTACAGACTACTAAGTACAGTACAGTACTGTACTAATACTATGTACAGTAAAAAGAAATAAAATACAAGGAAAAAGAGAGAATTTAAACATAATTACTATATAAAATTAAAGATAAATAGGAAGATATTTAAGATAATAAAGATAATAAAAATAACAAAAAAATATTCTATATACAATAGTATGGCATGCTACAACTAAACGTCTAGAAAAGATAGTCAAGATACAAGAGATATAAGATGTCAGAGCACATGCACATGCTAAAATATGAATTAGTAATCTGGCACAGGAAACAAAAGAGAGTAGAGTTTTTATTTTATTTTTTTCACTGCTTCCTTAATCTTGGTTACACCTTATTAAATATAAACGCCAATCTAGGCCCCTCTGGCAAAGAACATCCTCTGTTGATCGGAAATTATACTACTTATATTCCAAACAGGTTAAAAAAGAACTTGCTTCGTTTAGATCCCAATCTTACAATCCTACCTTTCTTCCCTCTCCACCGATGACAACTCCCTCTGGAAATTGACAAAAAAAATCATTAAATACCCATCTATTTACCACCCCATCCGATGCGATGATGGAACTTAGGCTTCGTCAGATGAAACTAGAGCTGAAGAATTTGCCAAACATCTATCCAACATACTCATTCCCCACCCTGAACTCCATCCCACCCACATTGCTGAAGTTAAAGAACTCCCTTCAATTATATTTTGAATTTTTGAGGGGGACAAATTTTGACGGGGTTATGAATTTTCGGACTAAGGGACAAGGGGGAAACATAGAACAGACCGCAACAAGTGTAATTGTGTATGATCTACGATTTTTATAATTCTATCTTAGCTTATTCTGTTTTAAGAAAAGTGAGCAATAAAATATCTTGGAAGGAGGGGGGCAGGTAGGTTCTAGCGCCATCGACCTTGGAGGGAACGGGCACCTCTGCCAGAAGTTACGATATTTAAGGGTTCAGCTAAGGCAAACATTTAGTAATGGTACAGACCTGACCATATATATATATATATATATATATATATATATATATATATATATATATAATAATTTATACTATATTATATTATTATAATATTTAAATATTCCTCTGTAATCCATTGAGGATTAATCTCATTAATCCTAAATAAACTTGTCAATTTATTTTAATATAAATTTATCAAAAGGATTCATAGATTCTTTTTTGTGGTGTTTAAAAATATTTAAAGACTTCCTCATCATCAATTCTATGTGCGTATGTTCTTCGCCATTGACCATCTCCTCCTGATGTCCACAAGGGATAGTAAGTGGATTTTGAATAACTACCTCTATTGCAGGTTTTTCACATTTGGATACCACTTTAGGATAGCTGCAAGTGTCTTCAATATTCTCCGGAGTAACGTCATTAAAAATTTTATTTTCTAAAGATATCACATTTCTACAAATTGTAACTTTGTTAGTACTAGGATAAATTAGTCTACATTTTTTTTCGTTAAGTAATAATTAAGTTTTCGAAAAACTGTGGTATCTTTAGGCCAGTTGGGGGATAAAAAACGAATTAAACATAAAAATGGTATCATCTACGAGCACCAATTTCATGGTATGGTGTAACTTTTGCTTAAAGTGGAATTTCAATAAATATAATCTCATGAATATCTCCGTAACCATTTATTTTATCAACACAATGTATCGGATCATTTTTATAGGAACTTTAAAGTACCTTAATATTGTATAGAACAATCTCTGCGGAAAACACCACATATTTTGAGATATTTTCAAAAAACTAAAAAAATATCAGTTTTCTGTCCTTCTCCCCCTCCCCCATCAAAACCCGACGCGGGATACTTTGGGACTTTTTACCAGTACTTATGGGAATGGTAATAAACAATGGCTGGCATCTTCATCTTCAATGGTTTCATCTTTACTTTTGAATTTTGGGGTAAGGCTGTTATTTCTCTTAACTTTACTGGCCTATAAAGTATGGACCAACAGCTCCTCTAATACGGTTCGTCCAATCTTGAGTAATGAGAGTATAATGGGCACCCTTAAAAATAATGCGTGCTGTATTATTGCTCGTTTAGGGGATGGATTTAAATTAGTCTATAACCTTTGGTATTCTGCCAATATCCGGTAAAAATAATGTTTTCTGAGTGGGAGTCTTTCTTCTCTTTTTCGGGAGACGTACCAAGACTCCAAATGGTCAACAACACGAAGGCTTTATTGAACAGTGGAATGTCTAGAGCGGAATCCAAACTGATGGGAAGGGATATTGTGGGATTTAAGTAAGGGGAGGAAGCGTTTGAGAAGGATTTTTCAAAGAGTTTTGAGAGGATCGGCAGTAAACATATTGGTCTATATGATGAGATATTGTTAACAGCTTTACCTGGTTTAGCGGACAAGATGGTTATGGAGTGTTTCCATATCAGAAGAAAATGAGTTGTACAGAGGAAACAGTTGTATATGTATGTGAGGAATACGATTGCTTTTCTGAGAAGTTTTTTAAGGATCTGGAAAGTAAGGAGATCGTGCCCAGGAAATTTTCGAGGTTTTAGGTTGTTTATAAGAAATTTGATCGCACAGGGGTTGACTGGTTGAAGAGGCAAGGAGAGAGGAATCGAAGAAGAAGGGAGTTCTTAAAACTTCAGCAGTATGGGTGGAATGGAGTTCAGGCTGGGGAGTGAATCCACTTTTAATTAGATTTAAATATATATTAATTAAATTGAGGTTTGAGACAGAGTAAGTTGAGATTCATCTCTAATTGTATAAAAAGGTAATCATGATTTTACGGTACTATTAATCTTTTTACTCAATTAGAGATAAATATCAACTTACTCTGTCACAAATCTCAATTTAATTATTATAGATTTCAATCACATTATACAAGAAAGTTTTTTTTTAAAAAAATGGTATCTTTAAACTAGTTTAAAAAAAATCGCGAAGATTCCTTGGTTTTATGAAAAAAACCAAACAAACCGTAGTTTAACTGCATAAAAGTCCCTTTTAAATGATTTTAGAAAAGACAAAATTTACTTCTATTTAATATGAATTTTATATTTTTTTCACTATGAAGTAATTGGTTGTGACCTAAATTAAAAATATTTTAATTTAAATATATTTTAAACAAATTATTGCTTTTTAATCAACATTAAAAGTGGTTGACTTGAAAATTACTAAATTTAAGTTTCCTAGTTTTATGCATGAAATCAGACCATAGTTTGCAGTAACTTTTTTGTAGGTTTTAAGGTCTGCTATCACACTATAATAATTATATGAAATCAATGTTAATCTAAAATTCATATCAATATCACGAAATTCCCCATTGATAAATATCAAATACAATACTGTTGTCAATGACTTTTTAGAATCATCAAAATAAACTTTGAGTATTAATTCAAAGGATTAAAAATGTTTAGAAAAACGAATTAAACATCAAAGTGGTATCATCTATGATAAAAAGCATCAATCTCGTGGTTTGGGGTAACTTTTGTTTAAACTGGAATTTCTATAAATATAATCTCCTGAATATCTCCATAACCATTGATTGTATCAACAAAATTTATAGGATCATTTTTATAGAGATTTTAAAATATTTCAGTATTCTACTAAACAATCTCTTCAGAAAATATCACAGATTTTGAGGTATTTTCAAAAGACTAAAAAAATATCAGTTTTCTGTCCTACTTCCCCTCCCCCTATCAAAACCCGACGCGGGATTCTTCTGTACTTTTTACCAGTTATTATGGGAAGGGTAATAAACAATGCCTGACTGAATTTCATCTTTATTTTTTGAATGTTGGGTAAGGCTGTTTTTTTTTTGTTTTTTTTTTTCCATGGTAGTTGTGGATGCTGTATATAATTCGAACTATATAATTCATCTGGATAGTGACGAGGCAAAGATTAATATTTCTTTTTCCAAGCCACAATATCTCAATTGATCAAAGTTAATAATTAATAATCTAATTGTTTGGATTAATAATATAAATTCTGAGCTAAATCCTACCTGCATAGCTGCAAACTCATCCCCATTCTGTATGTATTTACGAAACTTAGAGCTGGCACTACCCATAGTTATGTTGTTTGTCACGAACTCATGATCGTAGATTTCATGATTTGAACTAGTAAAGCACTATTTATCACAATCTCTATCGCGACATAACCAACCACTTTTCTGAAGCAACAGTTACTCAACCGATCCATAATTCCAGACCTGCGTAGATCCTGAACCAATATATCTGTTCTATTACATAGCTATATTTTTTCTATTTAACTTTTAAAAGAAATTTAAACGACTTAATAAATATATACATGGTGTCCCATAAGTAAAAGAAAATATTTTGTGTTATTAGCGCACCTCAAGGGCTACAAAAAGCGTAATATAAACCGTGATCCGATTTTTCAACAGAATATCAGGAAGTTTTAAGTTTTTTTAAAGTAAGTTACGTTTTTCGTCGAATAGGAAGCGATAATTAAACAAATATTTAATTTAGGTAATTAAAAACCGCTTCATAATAAACTGAATAAAATTTAGTCTTTGTTAAACATTTAATGGTGATATTTTAGTAGTTACCCAACTTTCAGAAGAAAAAAATCCTTATTAAATACGCTTCAAGTCCAAATTAATTTAAGGTAAGGGTTACTACAGAATTAAATTGAGATCTTTGTAAAAAATATAAATAATTTGATATTCTATCACCCCGAAGTGCGTGTTTTTAACAAAAATAACGAAGACAAATTATTACAACGCTTTAATAACTTTTAATATACAAGGCTTGGGATATGTTTTTATACATTAACAACAAACAATACATTTTATACATATAATTTTCATTTAAAGTGATAATCAACCCTTCTTATTTTTAAAGAAGTTATCCATTATCTTTATCCTTATTGCATCTAGTGACCAACTAAATGCTAGTACACAAAGGACTAACAGTAAGAAAAAACACCCTTCTTTTTATCGTCTCACTGTTATTTCTTACTTTCAATATAATTACACAGTCTACCTTATTAAACGTAAATATAACAGTAACTGTAACAGCTATTATATTTTTTATTCAGCAATAAATCTCAACTTTATTAATTTTGACTTGAAGCATATTTAACAAGGAAGATTTTCCAGAACGCTTTTCACTAAGGCTACAATATTAAATTAAATATCTAAAGCCATATAATCAATAATAACAAATAAAAAATTTTCAGTAACTGATGAAGAAATACGAAACATGATAAAATATAGAAGTGAAAGCCTTCATATTTGATATCACACAAATGTACATAAACTACATTATAAAGTCACTAAACTACTTAAAACACTAATATTTTTTTTTTACTATCTTTATTGAATATTTATACATTCTGCCACATTGAAGGGCATTAATATTACAAATACATGATAAAACACTAACAGCATTAAAAATTATAAATAAGTATCTCGTTATCATTTCGAACAAAAATAGTTTCGAGTCTTTTTTCATACGGAAAACATAGATGTCGAATTAATCTCTGAGAAGTTGTTTAAACCGAATAAATACGTAAACAATCCTGGGCATTAGCGGATCCAGGATCCAGGATTTAATGGGGCTTCAGCCCCAAAACTTTTCTTTTCTTATGTATATAACGATACTTATATATATATATATATATATATATATATATATATATATATATATATATATATATATATATATATATATATAACGGGGGAAAAAAGATACTAACTTAATATGAAATGGTAATTCCATATTATATGGTTACATTTTATCATTTTGGGAGGGGGAGAGGCTTCAGACCGAAATCTCCCCTCCCCCCGTAGATCCGCATGTGTCCCTGGATATAATGTAACAAGGGAGGATAGGCTAGATGGCTATGGAGGAGCCTTGTGGGCGGGGTGGCCGAACGGGATAATGTGTGTGCACAGCACCACCGTTGTTCGGCAACCTGATCTATGAGACAATGGATTTAAAATAGTCACGAGTTCGCGTCCTGGAACCGGGAGAGTCTTTTAAATCCCCGCCCACGCCCTCTGCCTCAGGAAAACTCCATATAGCCTTAAAGGTGAGGAAGGGGAGGACCTCCCCCCAAACAAAAAAAAAGAAGCTATGGAGGAGCCGCAATATTAATCAAATCAAAATATACTTCTCTCAAATTTTAAGTTTCCACAAAATCAATAATATAGAAATAGTAGCAACTGATAATCTTAAACTCAACCTAGTTTCTTTATACATTTCCCCAGGATACTTAATCACGAAATGTAATTTGAAAAATTGATTAATAGTTTTGAAAGCCCTTTATTTATAGGCGGAGATATGAACGCTCATCATTATCAGTGGGGTGTGAAAACTGCGATAATAAAGATAAAAATCTAGTTTCTGCCATCGAAAGTACGAACCTGGTCATTTTAAATAATGACAAGCCTACTTAAGTAAATAATATTCTACCAATCAAAACATTTTTTTTAGACGTTATATTTTGAACGGCCAACATCGTTAATACTACAGACTGGAAGGTGTAAGAGCTGTTGGGTCTAATCACCTACCCATCACTACCAAATTAATAAAATCAAAACAATTCCTCTTTTTCCATCTAGTAGAAAACGGTTAGTTAAGTCAGCAAATTGGGATGAATTCGAAGCTACTGACAAATTCCATAGCTCTGACTTATCAGACAAACCAACTTACGCAGAATTTATTAATTAACCTAACGAAATAAACACTCAAACAATCCTTCTATTCAATACGTTTTACAAACATAAATTCAGAAATTGGTGGGATAAATAATATTTGGATTTCGTTCGAAACAGGAAACAATGCCTTTAAAACATATAAACGATCCCCTCCCAGAGATAACCTCAAAAATTATCAAAAGGCAGATGCTTTATAAAAAATATCATCAGTAATAAACATAAGCAATCATGGAGGACGTTTTGCACTAGTATAAATAAAAATGACCCCAAAAGGAAAAATGTCACAAACTATTAAACTCTCAAAAAAAAAAGAAAGACAAATAATATATTCTCTATTACTACTGGTGAATGGTGCACTGAATATGGTAAACATTAATAACACCAGTAAAGATTTAATTATCGATATTAATAATGGCGGTATTACATGTAAATAACACGCCGAGGAAGTTAAAACGAGACAAAATATTATCTATTTTATCTTTAAGGCATTAAAAAGTAACAATAATACAGCCCTAGATAATACCCACTACATAATGTTAAACAATCCACCACTAGAAATCAAATACCGCTTACTGCATATACTAAATAATAAATGGGAATCAAATTCAGTACCGGATTCATGGAGAGAATACTGAGAATACCAGTTACTGAAACCAGGGAAAGATATAGCTTGCCTATTGCATTTAGTTCGTGTATTCTCAAAATATTTAAAAGGATGATTCAATTCAGAATAGAATGGTGGTTAGAATATAATAATAAATTATCCAACTAACAATTTGGTTTTCTTAAAGGAAAATCTAGAATAAACAGTCTTTTAGCACTACATATTGATATCAATATTGCATTTACTAATCGTAAAAAAATTGCTTTATTTCTAGACATACAGAAAGCATACGATACGCATAGTGTTGCCCAAATGCTTGGCTAATCTTGGTCTTGGTGTTACAGTGTTCACACCTGGTCTTGGTCTTGGTCTTTCACACTAAGCGTTGGTCTTGGTCTTGGTCTTGCAGCAATAGTCTCGCAAGTCTTGCAGGTCTAGCTAGCAATTACATATTAGCCTATTACTATTTATTAAATACGTTAATTTATGTCTTAGAACGACATAAAAGAATAGATACATTGGAACCTATCTTTTGACCTATACATAGCAAAGTTCAACCAAATTTACTTGAATATACAAAATTTAAAGACATTGTCAAGAAAGATAGTGATAGACCCTCACCTTAGATGGAATGTAAGGGTTGTGGTATAAAGATATTAAATATAATGTTAGCATTTATTGAAATAAAAACTAGAACAGAAATTTAGTGTTTAGAGTTTATTTAAACAATAATAACAATTTGGTCCGACCAGATGGAAAAATCTATCGGTCGGTACTATTGATAATAAATAAATCAGTTTTAAATAGTGACATATTTTTATTTAACAAAAGTTATAGTTATGATTGTGTGTGTGTGTGTGTGTTGTGAAAATACTAATTCGCCAGGCTCACTTCGACTTATTTTCACAGCGCTGAAAAGCAACTAAAAAAAAACAACAAATCCTACGAACAGGAATCTAACGCGTTTCGACTTCTTTAAGTTTTTCGAATTATTTTCATATAAGTGTTTATTCTTATGTTTTCGGAGCTTTAGATTTTGAAAATGACCTCCATTTTAAGATTACGCCACTGCGTTTCGACTTATTTAAGTTTTTCGACTTTTTTTCGAATACAGAATACAGTAATGGTGTATTTTTATGATTCCGGAGCCATAGGTTTTGAAAATCTGATATTTCGGGTGTTTTAGGGGAGTGCAAATTAATTCATGTTTTCTGTTGAAATTTAATTGTCTAAATCATATTGTTTTAAAAAGAACATATGTTTGTATGTAACCAATTTTGTTTAGTTAATTAGTTGTGATGCAAACAAATTTTTGGATGATTTAATAAATGAATAACAATATTTATTTTGAATTATATTTAAAAATAAAACAGTGGCGCTGCGGGCATATAGAAAAGAATACACATGCCTCGAAAAAGAAACGTAAACACGAAAGATTTAACAGAAAAAAAAATGTTGCAATACAAAAATTTAATTTTCCATCATTCGATCCAGAAGAAGAAGACATTGAATATTTAGAACGATTTACGATTGAGCTGCGAGTTCACATGATGATATTTAAAAATATAATAGCTTGCATTTTAAGATAAGTCAACTGTGTTTCGGTTTGTTTAAGTGTTTTTGATTTTTCCATCGAATAAAAAAAAAATAAAAAGGACTAATTTATTTTTCAACCGATATAAATAAAATATCTATTTGAGAAGGAGTTAGTTGAGGGTGCGGTCAAATAAATAAAAAAATTAAAATATATAAATAATTTTAATTTTTGCCGACGTTTCGA